AGGCTTAGTTTTGGTTTTTAAGGTCACACTGTCCTAAACTGTTACATGTCACACCATATACTAGGTTGGTAACAACTGCTTAGGGGAAGGCTTTCATTATGCAAGTGAGCACATAAAAAAGGGCCCTTCCACCAATCGAATGAAGCAAGTTAAACCAATGATGTTTATGCAGAGCAAGAACAAAGTAAGGCAGGAGTTTTGGGTAAAATAAACTGATGTCTTTGAGCACCTATAGATTCACTTGAAGATCTAAATATCTGGTGGCTAAAAAACACTGGGTTTCTAGCCACTCCTCAGAAGTGGAAATTAAATGCTGAGTTACATGAGTGAAAATATTTATATTTGTATTTATATGTGTCATTTATATAAATAATGGGAAGTGATAGGATGCAAAAATTCTCAAAAGTTCTTCACCCAAAAATAAATAATATAGATATTTTCTTTCTTTATACAAGATTTTTGCAGTAGTGTCTTCTTCACATGTAAATGACAGCAAGATACCTCAAAGTGGACAACGAGATGCTTAGCCTAAGGGAATTTTCCAGGCAAAGGGAACTACCACTTAAAAACCAAACCTCTTAAAACAAATTTTAATCATTTTGTATGGAAATACATATTATTCTCTTTAAACACAGTATAATGTTGTTATGAAAATTTTGTTATGAAAATTATGTTATTGAAATAACATCAAAAGAAATGTTGTGCTGTCTTTGGGGACCACTTGCCCCTTCCTGACTCCTTAGTCTGGGTCTTCTGCCCTGGGGGTTTGTTTGCAGGCTGTTGACGGTGCTGTCTACTCTTTCCTGTGCTTGCTAGCTGTTAGCATGTGACATCGGGGTCACAGTGCACTTGGACCCAGAAACCGCACACAGGTGTCCCTGCAAATTTTTACTCTTATGGAAAATCCATTTTTGTCACAAGTAAGCGTTCATACTTTTACAATCATTTGGACCTGAGTATGGCCTGCCATTGGCTTACAATGGCTAGAAGTTGCTATGAGTAAGATAGGTTGTCATGTCCCTAGAGGATGTGCCCATTTTTCCTTTTCAGTATAAAAAAGAGTAGTCAGCCTGCTCTACCCGGACGCTGAGTGCCACAGGTTGCCAAGGGGGTGGTGCAAGTACGGTGGATGTTTTTATAGGAACTGAGAAAGAATGGTATTTAATATTTTAAGGCCGCCTAAGCAATTGCTCAGTAATTATTGCCAACTTACATTTCAAAACACAATTTTTTAAAAATTCGTGTCCAGAAATTGTAATATGAAGTATGCTAACACAAAATTTGAGAACTATTTGGTAGTGATTGCTAAAATGATTGAGATGCCATTAGGCTGAGCAAACCAAAACCCAATTCAATGTAAACAGTAAAACAACACTTAAACTTTACCAATCAGAAACTACCAACAAACCTCTAACGAGGGACATTCCACCAGATCATGCCCAAATCAGACAAATGCCTATGTAGCCAATCAGCTAATTACTTTGTTTCTGTGTTCAGCCTATAAAAGCCCACTGCTCACTCTGCTAAAGTGGAGCTCTGTAAACCTCTTCAGGTTTTGAGTGCTGACTAATTCATGAGTCCTTTCATGTTTTGTTAACTTTGTCTTAAATTTTTCTTTTAACACAACTCTCACCTTTGTTTTCTGTGGGTTGGGAAACCGGGGTAACACTTTTCGCAGAACTGTGTGCAAAGTATTTTAAGTGTGAGCATGCTCTGAGTAAAGCAAAGAGAGGGCTTACTTATTAAATGTGCTTTTTTTTGCCTGGCCATACAAAATTTTTATTTACTTCTGGGTTCTTTACTGTATTGCAGAAAGCTGCGTTTGCCTAACAGCACATATTAGTTAAGTGAGATGTTAGGAAAACTGCCTTCAGCAAACAATTCTCACACAAAAGGCTTCAAAGCTCCAAATTCCCATAAAGCAAAACTCTTGGAAAATAGGAAAAACTTTAAATGTACTACAGAGGCAGGTTTAAACTTTACTGAGCATGGTCAAATAAAGTAAAAGGCAAATATTGTATCATTTCAACTTCAGCTATGTTACTAAGAAACTTTTGTTTCTAAATTTGCCATATACGCATTTCTGAAACGACATCCCAAAGGGACTGCCTTCTGAAAATTGAGAAGATCAGTATTCATCACAGCTCTTCACAGCATGGAGGCCTTGACAACTACGAATTTCAAACTGAATGTATCATGCCCCACAATCAGGAAGCTCTGCTCTCACTGAATTCTGAATAAGAGACAGATAATTTTATTATCACTCTTCAATGCATGCTTCTGTCAATTTAAAATGAACTCTTTATTTTATTTTTTGAGAAAGTCTCACTGTGTTGCCCAGGCTAGAGTGCCATAGCCTAGCTCACAGCAACCTCAAACTCCTGGGCTCGAGCGATCCTCCTGCCTCAGCCTCCCAAGTAGCTGGGACTATAGGCACACACCACCATGCCCTGCTAATTTTTTCTATATATTTATTTAAGTTGTCCAGCTAATTTCTTTCTATTTTTTGAGTAGAGAGGGGGCCTCGCTCTTGTTCAGGCTGGTCTCGAACTCCTGAGCTCAAACCATCCACCCCCCCGCCTTGGCCTCCCAGAGCGCTAGGATTACAGGTGTGAGCCACCGCACCTGGCCTAAAATGAACTCTTATTTGAAGCAAATAACTGCTTTTAGTATGAGGACAATGTACTACTGATAACTTTAAAAAGTTAAAAAGATTTTGCATTGACCATTTTGGTGATCTTGAGGTCTCCAGATTTATATCTCCTTATTCATTTTCCAAAAGGCACATAAGGCTGGTTTGTCAAAAGTATGAAGGTAACTCTTTTTCAGGCAAAAAAGAAAAAAAAAAAAGACCCCATGTCTTTGTAATCTAATCATTTCCAGGCATTTTTTTTTCTTTTTGAGACAGAGTCTCGCTTTGTTGCTCAGGCTAGAGTGAGGGCATAGCGTCAGCCTAGCTCACAGTAACCTCAAACTCCTGGGCTCAAGTGATCCTGCTGCTTCAGCCTCCCAAGTAGCTGGGACTACAGGCGTGCACCACCATGCTCGGCTAATTTTCTCTCTATATATTAGTTGGCCAATTAATTTCTTTCTATTTTTAGTAGAGATAGGGTCTTGCTCTTGCTCAGGCTGGTTTCGAACTCCTGACCTTGAGCAATCCGCCTGCCTCGGCCTCCCAGAGTGCTAGGATTACAATCGTGAGCCACCGTACGCCCGGCCTAGACTTTTTTTTTTTAAGTGACATCAAATTTCTGTCCTCAGAAAATGTTTCTTTTTTCTCTCACTTGTCTCTCTCTTCAAATTTTGAACAAATTCATCTTAACTATCTTGGAGCATGATTACTACAGAGACAAATCAGTGTCCTAAATGGAGTGGCCTAGGGCAAACGTTTTCTGTTCCAGAAATCTTTTACAAGATTCTTTTAGAGGCTGCTCCCAACCCTTTGTCTATATTCCTTTGGATTCCGGGGAGGTTGAGAGCTCCCCCTTTGAGATACGCTGTTCTCTGCTCACGTAGAACATATCTCCTGTTTTGAAATCAACATCCCTAGCAGACTTGTGTAACATTTAAATTCACACACAGCAGTACTCTTCTGGAAGGACAAGGATTTCTGCTGCTGCTGGAACCTTAAGGGCATTCTGTGGGATTCTCAGGAACTTGAATCTAGCACACTCACACTCACAGGTGAATTCAGCCTCTACTCATTACCCAGAATCATCTAGTATCCACTTCCGCCTCTGACTTTCTACTCTCTCACCTACAACTAAAGGGCTTCCAATACCAGTTCTGGCTTAGCTACACTACCCTACCTTCCTACTCCTTGTCATGCCCCAGCAAACCCTGTTTCTGTTCTCTAAGAGGCTGACCCTAAACTCCTCCTGGCTGTCACAGCATACTTCTCCCTGGGGACACAAAGAGCAGCATCTGTCCATTGGCCAGACAAGAAAGCTCGGGGAAGACGCACTCATTACATTCCCTATATGATGGGGCGGGGGTGGTGAAATTTGCTCCAATTTTGGTACCTCATCCATCATATTAATGACAACAACAACTTGAAGGGCACATTAAGGTCTAATGTCCTCTCTGCAGGTTCATATAAGCTTTTAAAATTAAGTACGACACTCTATTTCTTATTAATGACATCTGATTCAGAATTTTTCTTCACGCACTTCTTCATTTTCTCAACTTAGAACTCCCCTGTCACGTTAGAGCCAAGCAGCTGTGGCAAACCAGCCAACCCCTGCATTGCATAAAGCAGAATGACATTCTCCAAGGCTCACCCAAGCATTGTGACCACCATAGATTTTGCAGATCCATGCCTCTGTTCTCTAAGGGGTCTCTACTCCGTTCCTTCACCAGTGGTCTGCCCCTCGTCTGGCTATCTGCCATCTCTGAGACAATGTCACAGGGAAGAAATGTGCTTACGGGGCAGCAGAGCCCAGACTTGGAAACACTGCAAAGGATTTGCAGACCCCAGAACCCACAGCACGGGAGCTATGAAGTGGCACAGTGGTGGTGGCGGTCGTGTGGGGTGCAGGGTCAAAAGCAACTCCTTGTTATATCACCCCAAACATACGGTTTTATTGCTCTGAGATAAGATGTGGTTTTATGCAATAAAAATAAGGGCCCTGTTCTAAGTCGGGGGACTTAGGATGTTTGAAGGACAACACAGCTCTGAGCAGGACAGGGCTGGGAGATTACTGAGCCAGCTATCTAATGTCAGGACGCCCTGCCCTGTGATAGGAGTGCTTGGCCTGCAGGGCGCTGATTTTCACCAACCCCACAGGTATCACCTCCTGGACAGCCATATACAAGAGGTGAGGCTTGGTTAGGGGCGTCACTGAGTATCTCTCATCACATGGTGTCTTTCTCATTTTCTCTTCTAAAATCCTGAGTGCATCATATAAATGTTACTTTTATGGTTTCTATATAGGAATACCTACGCATAATGTACACGGAGGAAAACTTTCAATATATGAAATCATAGCATTGCAACCAGCTGTGATTTTTATTTCCACGTGTAAATTTAAAATTATCAGATTAATGTAACATAATCTGTTCATTTGGGGCTTTTACATACAAGTTCTATGCTTTAGTATTAGGTGGCTGCAAACCACAACGAACTTTCAAAACAAAGTGTCATAACCTTTTTACAAATCCTATTCTTTGTTATTTGTTCACGTCCAAAAAATGTTCATAAACATTTTAGACATCTGATACCACTGTATTGCAAGAGGGTAGAAACATTTATTGTAGCTGAGTAATATAGTTACTCACTCTTAAGTTTATTATTACCCTTATTTTGTGGCAGCAACTCTGGATTCTGTAGTATAAAGAGAAATCAAAAGAAAAAGTATCTAACATCTTGGTTTAAGAAGTACACTGGGATCCGGTGACCTCAACCATATGTACAGGATATAAACATATTTATACTTTATATGTACATAGTTAATGGTTACCTATGCATTATAAATAGTAGGTTTAACTTAGATTCTACAAAAATAATCATTTTGGATGGGCACATGCAAACCGGTACACATAAACCTATTTATAAAACACATCTCTATGCTTTCTTTTTTTTTTATTTTAAATATTTTAAATATAAATGTTGCTATTTGGCCCTCAGCTAAATGATTTAAACGCAAACCCCAAAGTTCCCAATTAAAAGTATAAAATCTGCTTCTATCCACAGCGGCATACTGCTTCAAGTATTCTTCTCCTATGCAAAGTCTAGATAATTCTGTCACATGTGGGTTATAGGTATACATCCTCTTTCTTTACTTATTATTAAGCCCTGTGGGGTCAAAGCTTTCTTTGTTCCATTTTTTGCTTATTGTGTTTGTTTATTAAAATATTGCAAAACAGTAGATATTTCTTAAAATGGTAACACCTTAGCTTTTACATTCTGATAAAAATGAACATAACTAAGCCTCTTCCTCATGCCCGGACCCCGGTGTGGCAAAGCCTGCACTTAATGGTTTGCGGAGCCATCGGAGCTGGTAGACAACTGAGTGGCCACAAAAGGCTCGTTTTGCTTCTGATCGTCTTTCATGCCAGCTGCCTGGTCCGTGATGGAGGAGAAGGACAGCTGGTCATGCTCGATGATGTGCACTTGATCTTCATCCTTGTCCTTCTTCACATAGAACATCTTTCGGAATTTTTTCAGCTCGTGGAGTTCGCAGAAGGTTTCCAGAACTACCAACATGGCAATCAGGCCAAGTAGCAGGTAACCTGGTGAGAAACAGGACAGCGTCTCAGTGTGATCTACTCATGGATAAATCAAGTAATGAGTGACTTATCTCCCCACTTCCCATGCTTCCTGGAAACTTTCATTATGGAATAAATTCTTTGCAAATTTTCTAATTTCTAGGAATGTTTTGAAGTCCATGGTTTAAAGAGGAACTACCCATTGTCAAAGAGGGAAAGACAATGAAGCAGCATTTAACCTTCTATGAACTTGGATTATTGAGAATCATAGGCTACATTCTTTTTTTTTTTTTGAGACAGGTCTTGCTCTGTCACTAGGTACTCCTCCAGGCTGGAGTGCAGTGGCTTCATCATGGCTCACTGCAACCTCAAACTCCTGGGCTCGAGCGACCTTCCCACCTCAGCCTCTCAACATGCCAGGATTACAAGCATGAGCCACTGTGCCCAGCCCTGAAATTTTTGAGGAAAAAAAAACAAACAAACAGTTGGGGTTGATGTGGCATTGTTAAAGACAGATAAGATTAACACACTGTACTCATCCAAGCGAGACCTTCCATGCAAGGAGGGCTTGTCACCTCTGCTTTATAATCAGTGGCTTACAAAAAGCCAGTGACATTTTAGAAAAGTTTTTTATTTTTCATGGGGCGCTCAGAACAATACTTGGCACCTTTTTAAGAACTCAATAATACTCTTATAGTGATTTCTACTGTAGAATAAGAAGTTTAATTATAGAAACTGCAGTTTAAGCTAAATCAAAATTCCTTTAAGAATTGGTGTTGATATTAAATAGGTCTCTGTGTGTGGCTGTTTACACTTGCACCTAAATCCAGCATCGGACCAGATCTCTCCATTATCTGACAGCTGTTTTTTTTTTGGCACGTGGACCACCCAGTAGATAACTCTACCAGTTTCTTATTCTTAAAATAAAATAACAGTTGATTTGGGTACAGTGGAATTTATGATGGGAAGTGGTGATTTTGAATGAGTTACAACATTTTAAAAATCAGTTTCTGGGAAAAAAATAATCATCATGGAAAGGAACACAAAAGTGAAAACGAAAACTCCAAGAGTAACAAAAATTTCAAGTTCATGTCCCAGTAATAAAATGTTTAAGGAAGATTTTCAGAAAATCTATTGAGTAGGAAAGCTAGAATTGCCGGCATAATACGAATAAAGAGGCTGAAAAATGCAAAGTGTTAGTATCTTCAGAATTTGACTATAGATTTTCATAATAATATAGTGCATGAACATGCTCTTTGTATTACAGAAACAGTAATAACACTGTCAGACTAACTGACGAATCCACTCCTTTTCTTTTATCATTATTTAGCAAACCTCTTGAGTGCTAACAAAAATAACCAGGATTTCAGGCAAATCTGAGGGGCTTTGTCCTATCCACAATAACATACCTTTGGAGCAATCATTTGTTAGATACTCAAGTTCTTAACACTCGAAACATAAACTAACTCTATGGAGAGTGCCTAAAAAAATATGATCCATATTGTGCCAAGTGATGAAATGTTACGCAAGGATTTAATATTATAAGAAAAACTAAGGAAGTTAAAATGCTGGGCAAAATTCATGAGAAGACAATTTACCTTAGGGAAAGGTGTTGTAAGCTGGCAAACATAATTACATAAACATTCTACTTTCCTAAGTCATGAAAAAAAAATAATGATAAAATAACAACCTATTACATGAGAAGGAAGTTAAGATAATGTTTACGGGTCTACCAAATTCACAAACACAAAAAACATCTCTAATGGTACTGGCTACCACCACCCCAGGTGTGCTGAAACTGTCACACTCAAATAGCACTGGTCGCTGTGTAAACCTGTAGCACCATTTGGAAAGTACCAGGGCAATATGTTCTGTGAGTCACAAAAAGGTGTATTCACTTCGGGCCAGTGATCCTACTTCTTGGAAGGATATCAAAGTAGAAAAAGTACAAACATACAAAGACATTTTCTACAGTGTTACTTATATTACCTGCAAATTAGCAGAAACCTAAATGGTCCATAAAGATATGGCTGGATTGTGAGATAGCACCCCGGTGAAATATATGGACTCTATAAATATTCCTTATGGTAACTAGAGGAAATATAAAATCATCCTTGTAGTCATTTGGCAAATATCCATTGAATTTGGAAGGAAGCCAGGCACTGTTCAAAGTATTGGGGATTTATGAGTGAAGTCTTTGTTCTGGGCAAGTCCACGGGTTAATGGAAATGTTAAAATACACACAGTTCAACTAAGCATTTTGTGAGGTTAAGACTACAAGACAGGGTCAGGACAGAGTGTTTGACTCCTGGATATCAGCTATGATTTCCTAGAAGACATGACCTCATGAATTGAAAAATTCTTCAGAAGGCAGAAATGAAAACTGTGTGTGCATTATGACTGCAATTCTATGCATCTTGAAAAAGGTAGGAAAGGCTCACACAAAATCGAACAGCTTCTTGAAAATGGATGGCTAAGTGTTCTATGATATTCTTTTGAATTTAAAACAAAAATTATTTAAAAGTTATTAAGTCACTGGCCATCTGAATCTTAACGCCCATTTAATTTTCCAAATATAAAATTCTGAAAACGGTTAACTTAGGCTAACTTCTTCGAAAAAGAACCAGATGGACAAATGAGATAAGTAGCTCTTTTAAGATTTTCCTGGCAAATTAAAGAACATGATTGATAGTAACAGGCTCTATCTGAGGCCTAGTTTTCTTGGGCTTAAAATCAAATATTTAATAAAGTAGAGCAACCTTTTTTGTTAATTAAAAGTTGGTTATCAGGTTCATTCCATATAATGTATTTTTACACCGTAATATATATAATGCCTATTACATTATTATTGTAATGTAAGAAATCGATTAGTCATTTTAAGGTACCTGGGAAAAATAACTCAGTAATAAGGTTTTTGCATGCAGAGTTTTGAAGGGAATCATGAAATGAAATAGTTACTGGAAGGCGGTAAATTCAGAAGCCTTATCAACGAGAGGAAAGCAGTCAGGGCTTTTATGAATGACTCTTCTCTGGCAGGCGAGGTGGGGCTTGGAATGGGAAAACGGGAGACAGAAGGGGCAGCCCGTGAACCCGGATACTCACACGTGATCCCAATCTTATAGAGCTCCCTGAATTTTTGATTGTAGCCTTCTCCAGGAACGTAATCTCCCAGGCCGATGGTGCTCAGGGAAATAAAACAAAAATAAAAGGATTCCAGGAAGTTCCAGTCATCCTCCAGGACAGAGAAGACAGCAGCCGGGATGAAGAAGAAACAGGACACGGTGACAAAGCCGAGGACCACGGCGTGGACGATGGCCACCACCTGCTTGGAGAAGCCCCAGCGGACGTGGAAGTAGAGGACGGGCCTGCGGGTGACATGCACGGTGACACGCTGGACCACGGCCGTCAGGAACAGGAGGGTGAAGGGAATGCCGATGACGGAGTAGATGATGCAGAAGGCCTTGCCCCCATCTGACAAGGGCACGGTGTGGCCATAACCTGCAAGAAGAACAAGGTCACTGGGGTGATGAGGAAGAGAGGGAGTGGCAAACACATTTTTTTTTTTGAGACAAAGTCTTGCTCTGTCACCCTGGGTAGAGTGCATGGCGTCAGCCTAGCTCACAGCAACCTCAAACTCCTGGGCTCAAGCAACCTCCTGCCTCAGCCTCCTCAATAGCTGAGACTACAGGCGCATGCCACCACGCCTGGCTAATTTTTTGTTCCTATTTTTAGTTGACTGGCTAATTTTTTCTATTTTTAGTAGAGACAGGGTCTCACTCTTGCTCGGGCTGATCTTGAACGCCTGAGCTCAAGCGATCCTCCTGGCTCAGCCACCCAGAGTGCTAGGATTACAGGTGTGAGGCACTGTGCCCAGCCTGCAAACACATTTTTAAAGACTATATGTGTATCGTCTGCCCTTATTCCCCTCAAACTGAGAAGAAGGAGACTTTAGAGGTCTCCCATTTTAAAGGCTCCAGTGCAACTGTTATGTCAGCAAAATTCAATATTAAATGCCAAAAATTTGGAAGTCCACCACTCCTTATAAACTCTGACCAGCAATTCCAACATGTCAGAGTCTCTGGTCTTGGATTCACCATCAGGCTGAACGGAAAGTTCTGTGTAGTTGGGAGCTAAGGCCCCCCAGCTTAGCCCACCAGGAAAAACTCACCACCTGCTTCGGGAGAGCTGACCTGCACCCCCCACAACCCCCAAGAATCCTCATTAGCATCTAAACCCCAGTCTATACTCACCTCCCAAACACACTACTCATAGAATGTTCTAACAGGAATGACTAACAAATAAAATAAAGGTGTGTGAATAGAAGCAAGCTGATACGAGTACACTGGGAGGGTGGAGTAGACACAATGCAAATATAGACGTTAACAAAGAGGAAGAAAAGTTAGGATTAAAGCACATCAAGTCAAAGGACTGAGCACTTCTTTTTAAATATTTTGCCCAATTATCCGTTTAAATAGCACATTCGGGGCAGGGCACGGTGGCTCACGCCTGTAATCCTAGCACTGTGGGAGGCCGAGGCGGGAGGATCCTTTGAGCTCAGGAGTTCGAGACCAGCCTGAGCAAGAGGGAGATGCCGTCTCTACTAAAAATAGAAAGAAATTAATTGGCCAACTAGCAATATATAGACAAAAAATTAGCCAGGCATGGTGGCGCATGCCTTTAGTTCCAGCTACTTCGGAGGCTGAGGCCACGGCACTCTAGCCCGGGCAACAGAGTGAGTCTCTGTCTAAAAAATAAATAAATAAATAAAAATAAGTAGCACATTTGGAAACCAACACATTTTTTTCCCTCCTGTTATTTCCATATGTGCAAAGATGGTATAAATTCCACAAACATTAAAAAAATTACATTAGGACCAGTGGTCAAAACATATGTCTGTTTTACTTTCTACAAGGTTTGAGTTATTCTCTAATCAATCCAATCAAGGGACTCTTCACCCAACAAATGTCAGCAGGAGGGAACCCAGCTGGGCCTGAGGCTTGGCGGGCTGTTCTTCAAATCTCATGAGCACATTATCCTAAAAGGACTAACATGTCTGAACAAGTGAGTTCAGGAAAAAGCCAACTAAATACATTTTTTATGAAAGCGGATTCTGAGAAAAACTCACATATGCGATTATAATTGAAAAGGAGTTCCAAAATCTGATCTCTAAACTATGTCCTGCTTAAAAATAAACAAAACCTTCAGTGGCAGAGCCTCCAAATTCTCTGCCTTCTACCTAAGGCCCAAGTCCATATGGTTATTAAAAAATTCCCTGGTTTATACCTATGTACAGGCTCAAGACAACAGAGTCGGGGTTTTCAATCCTCTGTCCCAGAGGGTACAGAGCTTATGAATGAACTATAGTGAGCCCCAGGAATCCTAAGAAATTGCATGGAAACTTGTACCTCTGCCCACGGATGCATTTGCTTGTGAACAGATTCCAGAGCTTAGATTCTCAGAAGGGCTATGTGTCCCCAAATGGTTAAGAATCACCGTTCAGAGTGTCAGTTCCTGAATCCATCTGGTCCCTGCACACCCTACTGCTCCTGGAATGTGGTGGCTAATTTTGAGCCTGGTATTTAAAGACGGAAATGGGCGAGCTGGGGAGTATCTAGAGAACAACGGGAAGGATGGTGCGAGCATTGCCAAATAACGTTCATGCAACATATGGAGGCAGGAAACTCTGAACGCTTGGCTTTAAGGGAAAAAAATGTGCAAGCAGAATGGGGCTTGTTCTGAGCAAAGCAGCCCACATCCCAGAAACACCGGGGCTGATGGCAGCTCCAGTTTTAGCTAGGCCTTAGGGAAGGCTGTTCTGATGATCGCAGAAATCCGGAATAGAATCTGAAAATGGGATTTTATTTAACTATAACAAAACCAACTGGAGGCCAGGCATGGTGGCTCACGCCTGTAATCCTAGCACTCTGGGAGGCTGAGGCGGGAGGATTGCTTGAGTTCAGGAGTTTGAGACCAGCCTGAACAAGAGTGAGACCCCATCTCTACTAAAAATAAGAAGAAATTAGCCAAAACAACCAAAAAGAGAAAAAATTAGCCAGGCACAGTGGTGCATGCCAGTAGTCCCAGGTACCTGGGAGGCTGAGGCAGGAGGATTGCTTGAGCCCAGGAGTTGGAGGTTGCTGTGAGCTAGGCTGATGTCATTGTACTCTAGCCCAGGCAACAGAGTGAGATTCTGCCTCAAACAAAAACAAAAACAAAACCCAAACGAACTGGAAAGGGATTCACAGATTTAGTGATGAACCAGTGACTAACAGTACTAGGAGATGAAAGTACCCACACGACTAGAGGGTCAACAGAGACCACAAGAGCTGGATTTAACTTTGGCATGGATGTGGCAGAGGCAGCACACATTAGCACACATTAGTTGAGTCAGCTGGATTACAAAAAGCCTTGAAGTTTCCAATTTTATGACTTTTGGGGGTAGCATTTTGATACATTAGCTTTTCCTAAAAGTATAACACACCTATTTCACACAGCCCACATCTTCCGTGCCATCTGTTCCAATAAATTACACAGTTTAGGTACTTAGCAGAGGAAAAAAAAAATAAACAAATTTCTAGTTTTAAAATATTTTGGGACATGAGGTTTTCTCTCAAATTATGATAGCTCTTTGTATGAGAATGTTAACTAAATCTCATTTACTAAAATGTTACCTCCAAGCAATAAAGATAATCATTCTAAGACTCTCAGATCTCTCTGCAGTAATGGCATTTTTATGCTACTACTCTAATATATTCCCACTGAGAGATGAAAAGTCACCAACATGCAGATCCTTACTGAAAGCCATTTTCTTCTCCTGATGTGTACATAAATAATTTTTGTTAATGGAAAGTGAAATATAAATTTTACATGGCATTCGTATTCCCTACACTTTTAGCGTGGGCCCTATTGGGAAAACCATCCTCCATATGGACCACGCAGCAGTTCCTTTGCAACAGACAGCTTAATGCAACGCATGGAAACTTTCAGTCCTATTGCATTTTAATGAAGTGGTGAATAATTTATTCAAGTTCAGTCAATTAAACCTACAGATAAATCGTGAAGCAAAGCTCATATTTTAAAATCTTATAATCATATTTAACTCTATCACAAACCATGAAGAATTTAGCAAAATATTAAGAAACCCTGCATATTTGGGGGTTCTTTAAATTTTTCTAAGGCTGTTAATTATAATCTGGGGGCCCAAAAGATTGAGCATAACAAAATCTAGTGAAAACCTTACTACAGCGGTCCTGACACTATGCTAGCTGGGGCTATGCTGTACCAGGTATGGGCCTTCTGGCTTTTCTCGTATTTAAACGCCCCCCAATGAGGGACAAGACAGACAGCCTCCGCGGGTTCCTCTTAGGACACCGGAGCAAGTCACTGACATGCAGTTTCTTCACACGTACCAGATGCTTCTGAGAGAGGTGCAGCTTACAGGGACCCCATGTTGTGATCTGGAGCACATAATACACAGCCTCATTTATCTACATTATTCAGTATAATATGGATCAATGTATACGTTCTCCATTAAGTTAATTTGATGCATGCTAAAAAAAACAGCTACAAAAGAAGTCTTGGCCTCTGATTTCAACTCCAATAGAGATATTGAAATCAGATGTAATGTTTCGTCTTCTGTAAAACAGACTTTACTTTGCAATCCTAAACTTTAGCTCATTCATTATCGCTTTCCCACTGTACTGTATGCCCCCACGGGGAAGACCATGACCTCCCCTACTTTCAGTCTCTCCAGGCTTCCGGACCACAGTGCTATCGGCTACCCAATCCACAGTGAACAGTTGAGCAGTGAGCAGCTGTAAGTGACTTCAAAGTGGGGCTTTTTTTCTCCTAATCATCATAGTTACACTGTTCCTTCCTGGGGGGAAAAAAAAAATCAAGTAATAGCCTCTTTACCTCCCCAGATTCCACAGACAAGATGGCTTGTTCCACTGAACCACCTACTGAGCACTGTCATTTATGCCTTGTTAAGTTAGGGGCCCAGATAAAAGCAGCACAGAAACACGGCCCACTACCGAATACGGGGTAACAAGGACATTACCTCACAGTATTAGTACAGCTTTCCTGGAATCCCAAGCAGTCACATTTTTTTTTTATTTCGGCATATTATAGGGGTACAAATTTTAAAGTTTCAATAAATGCCCTTTCCCCTCCTCCCCCCACAAGTCTGAGTTTCCAGCATGACCATCCCCCAGATGGTGTGCATCTCACTCATTATGTATGTATATACCTGCCCCCCTCCCCCCTCCCACTTGCCCAATACCCTATTACTGTAGTACCTATGTGACCACTTAGGTGCTGCTCAGTTAGTTAATACCAGTTGGCTGGTGAGTACATGTGGTGCTTGTTTTTCCATTCTTGGGATACTTCACTTAGTAGAATGGGTTCCGGTTCTAACCAGGAAAATATAAGATGTGCTATATCACCGTTGTTTCTTAGAGCTGAATAGTACTCCATGTCACATTTTTAAAACGCAAGAA